GAAGGAAAGCACAGATAAATATTGACACACACATGGACTTTTTAAGCAATGCCTACCTGGCATTGGAGGAAACTATGGGCCTCCAAAATCCCATGGTGGGACATACTATCCAGGACCTCCACGGATGTTTCCTGGAGGAGGAGGTGGTATGATCTGGCCTCTTAAATTCCCTGGAAAGGCAGGAACTTTAGGGACTCTAGGGCCTGAAACTTTTGGAACCAGTGGAGGAGTCATGCCAGAATCAGCTGCTTTGTATTCACAATGACCAGAGGTGGGCAAAGTTGCCTTCTGAAACAAAATGACAATCAGCAGTCAGTAAAGCTGCATCATTCACAGTTCTATTTGTGGGAGTGTCAGGCAGTGAGGAAAGTAGTCCATGACATTGCAGAAAACCTGGGAATAAGCTAATTTTTTCCACACCAGAATAGGAGCTGATTATTCCCCATGTTAAGTACTCCTTAGAGGTCAAAAGAAATCTTTAAGCATGGTAGTAACACTCTGCCTGTTGCATACTCAAACACAAGTACAGTTAGGGCATATCAAAACAGGCACTTTGTAAAATAAACATAAAACAGGAGGTGGGGCCACCGGCCTTTAACCCAGGACTCCAGTGGCAGTGAGAGGTGGACCTCTGTCAGCTCCAGGCTATCCTGGTCAATAGAACGTGTTCCAGGACTGGCTCCCTTGCTACTACGAAATGCTATCTCTGGAAAGATAGAATTGGGCTTCAGATCCCTTGAAACTGAAGTTAAGAATGGTTGTGAGCCATCACTCAGGTACTGTGTGAATCAAACCCAAGTTCTCTAGGAGAGCAGCCTGTGTTCTTAACCTGTAAGCCATAGACTCAACCTATGTGCTTTTTGGAGACAAGTTCTGCTTATATAGCCCACACTGGCCTTAATTTTGCCTTTTTTTACTGCCTCAGCGTGCCAAAATGCAAGGATTACGTACACCACCAAAACCCACCTAGCGATTTGTATTATTTTACAGAACATTACAAGACAACAACGAAAGTCATGTGTTGCCCAGATCTTGAGAGGCTACATTAGGATCAAACAGAGAGTATCTGTATATGACAAAACTGCTTCAGGTTTTCCAGAATTTGAGACTTTTCATTCAAGTTATCACTTATAACTCCCTTATGTTATTTTTTTCATTGATTTCAAATATTGGCTTAAGTCAGAGAAATACACAGTTTATAACAAGTTAACAGAAAACCTCCTGTTTGTGTCTCCAATAAAGAACATGAAATTTAATCTAAGGCCAAAACATTCCACTATTAACAGCAGAGGAATTATCAACACTAATTTTATACAACACTCATTTGCAACATGACTTGAGCAAATTATTGAACCTTCCATGTAGTATGCAGACATTTTTGTTAACTACTGAAATAGAAAAAACAATTACTAAATACCGACATATTGGTTTATTTAGTGACTTACTTAAACACTGCCTGTACTGCCTATTTTCTATGCATGGCTTCATTTACTACCAGGAAGGGAATAACCTGGAGAAATAGCTGAAACAATGGGGTGTTGCCCTTAGCAACCTGCTACTGCCATGTACACTTCAGAAAACTCTAGCTTGCTTCCCTGCCCACTTTGTGATTTTGGAAAAGAAACCGGAACAAGAATTGAGGCTTTCTGGAAGTGTCATGCAGACAGTACACTGGTGACAACTCTCTTTCATGCTCACTAGTTCAGGAGTAGATATTCCAGAAAGATCCCACACTACTTACTCTGTCTCCTGCGCTAAACTTCATACTTCAGGAAGCAACTATATTTACTATCATTACATGTTAACACAACTTAAAGAGTGCTCAGATACAGTCCTAGTTTAAATACATTCAGGTGAAAATGAATTTCATTCAAAGTTACTCAGTTATAATTAAATGTATATTTAATATCTGCTATATTTCAAATCTTAATGTAATATTTTTTTCACCTAATATGATGGCTATTCTTGGTTGTCAATGGCATTTTGAATTAACTAAATTCCAAGGAAGCTGTTTGAAAATTTTCTAAATTAAATCATTTCAAAAGGGAAGAATCATTTTAATCTGGACCTTTTGAGGTGGGGAGATCTGCCTATATTTGGGGCTACACCTTATGGCAGCAGACTATCTAAAGGACATGGAAGTAGGAAGCTTGCTTGTCCTCACTCCCACTGGCATTATAGCCTACTTCTTTGGGATTGCTCTGTATACTGAGTATAAGATGAGACATCTAGCCTCATACACTGAGCAAATACTGGATTCTTAGAATCTCTGTTGTTAGATTTTCATTGCCGGAATAACCTGAATGCAGCCTGACAATCACTCTAATAAATTCCCTTTAGAAAGATAGATTAGATAGATAGATGATAGATAGATAGATAGATAGATAGATAGATAGATGGCTGCCATCCCCTAAGTTCTATTCCTCTAGAAATCTCTCACTAATATAACTAATAATAATATAAAAACCTAAATGTTCTTCAAAAGTTACAGACCGATTTAAGTAATTCAACTTAACTTACTTCAGCTAGTTGTGATTTGATAGTCTTTTGATTCATTTTCTAGAGATTGTTTTGCTTTTGAAATATCACTTATCTGAAATGACAGTATCAGTCAGTAAGTATTTAATGAGGCCCTTTTGCTCCAAGAAAACATGCATTAGTTAGTACATTGTTAATGTATTATTAATAAAAGTGAGAGGCCAGCAAAGAGGCCTTGTCAGATTTCTTTCCTTATGTTTACAAGGATTTAACAAATTATGTAATAATTGTATTTCTACACAAATTCAATGTATCATAGCACTTTTCAGGTTCAACATGAACCAACTAATTCATATTTTAAATAATGTTACACGCATCAAGATTTTTCTTATACAAGAATTTAGAGTAAAAATTTATAAATATTCTAAGTAAATATATGTATATAATATATATATGTGTATTATATATGTGTATATATAAATATATATCCTTCACTATGATAATTGAAGTCATGGTATATATGGCTACTTGTACAGTAAATATGGAAATTTTCCATGTAAAAGCATTGGGGAACACACTTGTAATCCCAGCAATTAGGAATCACAGGCAGGAAGGTCAGGAGTTTGAGACTCAATTATACAGTTATACAGTTATAGAGTCAGGGCTATATTCTAAGACTGTCTCAACAAATGGAAATAATAAGAAAACAGGAATATGCAAACACAACTTATATTCATAATATCTAAAAAGTAGAAATTTTAGAAGTGGGGGAACATGCCTTAAATCCCAGCAAACACCAGGCAGAGGAGGGTGGACCTCTATGAGTTCCAGGCCAGCATGATCTACACAGTGATTTTCAAGGGCTGTTTTTCTCAGAAAACAATAAGCAAAGCAACATACAAGCAAACATAGGCAATAATATCAGGCAGAGCTGGCATGCAGAAAGAAAAAATAGGAGAAGAAACCAAAAGAAGATCAAGGTATGACAAGGGAATAGGAGGAGGATACCAGTGGACAGCCAAGGAGTAAGAAGGAAAGAAAGGCAATAGAATAAAAAAAGGAAAAAGGCCCAGAGGGTAAGCATAGTTAAAGAGAAATGGGATAATTAATTTAGAAAAGTTGACTAGATAAAAGCTGAGTTAAGTCCAGGTGTTCATAAGGAAGAATAAATCTCTATGTATTCAATTAGGATCTAGGTGAAGGACACCATCCCTACCAAAGACTAAAAAAAAATATCGAACTAAAAGAGAGTATCAATGATCTGGGTTGGGTGCTTTACCCTCACTTCAAGTTCATGATTTATCTGTTTGCACTGGGTCTGTAGAAACATTTCCCTGCAAAGAAAAAACACAGGTCTGCAGCTTGTCCTGTGGGGGAGGAGTGGTCAAAACAACTGTCAGGGCTTCAGGGTTGGAATTTAAACCCTTCCTGTCTTTTATATTGAGTTAAAATAATGCAGTTTGAGCCCATGAAGAAAGCTGCTCTTTCAAAAACAACCCTAGGAATGATGGGCTTGACTCTTTCCAGGCATCAACACACACCATCTAGAACCTCCCCAGCTGTCTTCCCTTGGGGGGTCTGACTAAATAAACAGGAAAGGTGACCTTAAACTTGGATCCTTCTGCCTCTTACAAGTATTAAAGAACAGGTGTGCTACCATTGCCAATTTAAGTGTTGTTGGGGACTAAATCAGGGCTTCCAGTATGCCAGAAATGAACACTTACCAAGGCTACACCCCAGTCCAAAATTAATCAGTAAAAAAGGAATACCCTAGAGTACAAACAAAACAGTCACCCATATAGTGAGAGAGACAGACAGACACACACACATGCACACACACACACACACACACACACACACACACACACACTATTCTGTAAGGAAAACCTGACAATCACAGATGACTGACAGTTGTGAGCAGAGAAGTGATTAGCAGACCCAGAAGGGCAGAATCATGTGGCCTCACAAGTATGTTAGCACAGAAGATTACATGGTAAGGGTGACAGAGAAAAAAGAGAATTGGAGACAAAATGTGGTATACTACTACTGTGTATACATGTTATATATCCACCCAAAAGAACTGTGAGAAATGGTTCTTACTGGACTCACAGTTGTTCTTCACCTACAGCACCTTTGCAGTTCTAGTTGATTTCAGAATAAATCAGCTGGTCCCTAGCTATGGCATTGCTCTACCTCACTGCCAAGAATGGATGAATGAACCCTGCCTGGGAAGAGTCTGGAAAGGTGTCTGATAAATGTCAGGTCAAGTCCCCCAATCATCACTTGTCTCAGGAAATAGCCATGTCAGAACCTACAGCTGCATCTACAGAAACCAATTTGAGACCTACTTGTTTATCCCATGGAATTTTCTCCAGGCAGGGGAAGTGAGACACCCTTGTGGTCTCCAGGCAAGCCTATCTGTTGTTCCGGATGATGAGCAGCAAGCATAAGATCAGCTCCAAGTAGATGCACAGCACTTCCTGCCAGCGAGAAAAGAGATAAATCACTTCATCTTCCCTCACCTCCAGTGGCATTGTCAGTGCCTCCTCCACCACTGCCATCGCCCAATATGCTGCCTCTGCTCAGGTCATTCTCTAAGGTGAACTCCACATGCAGCTCCTGAGGGAACCAACCCTACTTGCTCATGAGGAACTCCAGCCACCATGGGCAAAACACAGAGGCAGATGAGGAGCTGGGTCCACAGTAGGGTAGAAAAGGCACTCTCAGCAGGGCTGAGGCCCACAGCCCATTAGGCAGCAGCAGAAAGGAGAAGATGTGCATGGTGAATTCCTGGGTGGCGACAAGGCTCAGGCTGCCTGCCCACACAGAGTCATCCTGCCAATCAGCACAGTCCTCACAGCAGAACCACAGCAGCCCTGGAAGCCAGCCTAGCTGCCTCTGCCTCTGACACCGCACCACCCAGGCTACCCTGGTTTGGGTTCTGGGCACTGATGAGAAAAGCATCAATGACAAGGAAGAAGGGGGCGAAACCATCAAGCACCTCTGTGGAAGCCAATGCATGAAGAGTTGGCAGAGACCAGGAAAAGCTGAGGCGGGTAAGCCTGCACGCTGCCAGTCGCTGGTCTCCCATACTGCACATGTGGTTCACTTAACAGCTTCAGAACCCCTGACTCCAACTGATGCGGCCAGGAAGTGGATGTGCTGCCTCTGAGGAAACCTCAACTCTGGACCCATCTGATGCAGGATGCCAGCAGGCTGGAGGGCGTGGCCGGCGGCAAGGGGGCAGGGCCATGCCCTGGGTCCCTGTAGGGATGGGTCTGCCTTTGCCAGGTGCTCATAATAGCGCCCCAGCATGATAGGAAACTTCCTGACATTTTCTCTTTCCATTGGCTAAGGTCGCCAAGCCAGAGGGCCCCCAATGAAGTCTTTCTCCATTGTCCCTGTTAGGAGTAGGACAAAGTTAGCTACCGAGGGGGCAGTCTAGGTGGCATGTGGTCAGGCCTTCTCTTATTTGCAAGGGCACTTTGCTCCAAAAATAAACCCTTGTTCTTAGGACATCTACTTTTAGGGAGACAACACCCCAAAAAAGAGATTCCTTCTGACTGGGAAAAAATCTGCTAACAACAGCAGTTTGGGACTTATGAGAGAGCTCAATTTGTTAAGATCTTGTCATTCATGCATGAGGATCTGAGTTCAACCCACAGCACTATATTAAAAAGAAAAATCAAGAATGGTGACACACGTTCAGTGTTGATGAAATGAAGTCAGAAATCCCTGGGTCTCCCTGGCCAGCAGGTCTTGCCTAATGGATGCACACAGTCCTCAGTAAGATAACCTGTCTTTAAAAAGTATGGCCTTCATACACATGCACTCGCATCTATAGACATAGTGACTAGTTTGCAAATGAAATATGGCCCTAAGTGTCACCATACAAGTTGAGCAAACATACTGCATTTTCAAAGATTTGGCATTCTTAGCAAGTCTCTTCTCCCTTTACAATTTATGCCTTGAAGTAAAATCCAAAGGCTAGTGTACTGAGACGTCATACAACTTAAATGTGTCTTTGACCTGTGTTTTTATAAATGACTTTTGCCTTCCATTCTCTGTGTCTAATGTCTCTGACTCAAACAGTCAGATATTCATGACACATATGCCACAATATTTCCTGAGCCTTATGTGTGCTTTCAAATCTGTAGTGATCACAGTTATGAACACAGAGACTTAACAAACTTATTAAATAATATTCCTCTATCTGAAACTAACCTTGGTCCTGTTCTCATTCAGACTATTTGGGATCATCATGATCATACCTAATGCACTTGAAGAATGAAATGTTTGTGATTTACCTATGTCCTCTCAAAGACTCCATATTCTACATAGGAGAGGTACTTCCTTCATCATATTAGAGCATTGAACAAAATGATTTTGAGCCTACCTCTAAGCAGACATGGAAAAGATCAGAGTTAAAAATGTAGACCTTAGAAACAGAGCAGATCTCCTGGGCCTCATACACCACTTGCCTACATCTTGAGTAAGAACCTACTTCAGGATTTGTGTAAAGTTAGTATAATTGATTTTGAAGATTAAACAATGTTATAAATAAAAGACAAAGGCAGAATGAAAGGAGGAACACTTTTACCTACAAGGTTTGTTGGGAAAAGAGCTGGATTGCATTTGAGAGTGGATGGTTCAGCCTTGGAACTATGTACAAAGTTGTTGCTAGTTTGAATGATGACTAGGACTTATTAGTCTGACATGGAGCTTCTGGGATAATATGATCAAAACCACATATGTATATGAATCAAAGGATATCAGTGCTTACCATTCAGTGCACATTACAGTAGCAGGAATTAAACAAAATTTCTCCTTTGAAGTGGTAATTTCCATGAAGAATTGTAGGTAACATGATATGCTTAACAGATATGGTATATCAATGTTCCACAATGTACCCTGGGGTAGATTTGCAGAGTTCACCATTTCCTGGTGAGGAAATTCGGTGCTCTCAAAGAAGCTTCTTTCAGGAACTCTACTCATTAGTTGTAAATCACAAAGTCTAACACTGGCAAAACAGTTTGATAGCAATGAAGTAGGGCATGATTTCTAGAATTTAAAATTTTCTGTAGTTACATTTTAAACAGGAAAATCAACCTGGGCATTTTGCCATATACCTGTAATTACTGTTTCAAGAATAACGGATGGCAACACAGACTACTATACCCAGAAAAACCCTCAATCATCATAGATGGAAAAAAAATTTGTTCAATATAAAAGCCAGGTTTCACAATATGTATCTAGATATCCAGGCTTACATAAAGTTCTGGAAGGAAAATTTCAACACAACACACATAAAACATAGGCAATATATAATCCCACTTCAAAAGAACCATTGGAAAAGCAGGGCAAATAAATTCAAAATTCCACTGCCAAAGACAAATCTAAATCAAACAAGAATTAACAATCAATGGTCCTTGCTTTCCCTCAACATTATTGGTCTTAACTCGCCTATAAAAAGACACCGGTTAACAGAATGGATATGAAGACAGAATCCATCCTTCTGTTGCATAAAAGAAACTTTTCTAAGCTTCACAGATGAACATTACCTCCAGGATAAAGGATTGAGAAATGATCCTCCAATCAAATGGACCGAAGCAGGTGTAGCTATCATAATATCTAACAAGTTAGACCTCAAACCAAAATCAGTCAATAGAGAAGAAAAAGGTCATTTCATATTCATTAGAGGAGAATTCCATCACCAGAAAGTCTAAATTCTAAACACCAATGCCGTAAATTCAAAGGCTGCCACATTCGTAAAAGAAAATGCTACAAAAATTCAAAGCTCACATGAAACATCACACACTAATAATGGGAGACTTCAAGACCCCACTATAAGCACTAGGCATCACCACAAGACAGAAGCTTAACAAGGAAACAAAACTACTTATAGAAGATATGTCTCAATTGGGCTTAACAGAAATCTATAGAACATTCCATCCAAACACTAAAGAATATACTTTCTTCTCTGCTCCATATGGAACTTTCTTTAAAATCGAACACATACTAGGGGACATAACAAACCTCAACAGATACCACACACACACACACACACACACACACACACACACACACACACACACAAAAAAGGGAATACTGCCCAGTATTTTATCAGACCACCATACTACAGTAAAGTTGGAATTCAACAACGCAAATCACAGAAACTCTGCAAAGTCATGTAAACTGAACAATGTGCAATTGCACCATACCTGGGTAAAAGAAGAAAAATGAAAGAAATTAAAGGCTTACTAAAATTCAATGAGAATGAGGACACAACATACCCTTACTTATGGGACCCCTTTAACGCAGTGCTATGAAAGAAGTTCATTGCACTAAGTGCACATATGAAGAAAACAGAGAATAGTAACATTAGAAAATTAACCACACATCTAAAAGCTGTTGAAAAAAAAAGAAGCAAAATTACCCCAAAGGAGGAGATGCCATAAAATAGTCAATTTGAGGGCTGAAATAAATAAAGTAGAAACCAGGAAATCAATAAAAAATTCAATACAACAATGAGTTGGTTTTTTGAGAAAATCAACAAGATAGTTTTAACAAACTAATGAAAATGCAGAGAGAGAACATGCAAATTAACAAAATCAGAAAGGAAACAGGGGGGGGCATTCCAATGGACACAGAAAAAGTCCAGACAAATTTCCAGGTCATATTTTGAAAACCTGTACCCCCCAAAATTTGAAAATTCAAAGGAAATGGGAGAAATTTCTAGATAACTATCACTTACCAAAATTAAATGAAGAACAGAGAAAAAACCTAAAGAGACCTACAACACCTAACAAAATAGAAGCAGACATCAAAATCCTTCCACCCAAAAAAAAAAAAAAAAAAAAAAAAAAAAAAAAAACAAGTGCCAGATGGCTCTACCAAAAATTCAATGAAGAGTTAATACCAATACTCCTCAAATTGTTCCACACAATAGAAGCAGAAAGTTCATTACCAAACTCTTTTTATGAGGCTGCAATGACCGTGCTACCCAAAACACACAAAAACAAAACTAAGAAAGAAAACTAGAGACGAATATCCATCATGAACATTGATGCAAAAATCCTCAATTATATACTGCCAAACTGAATCCAAAAATACATCAGAGAAATCATCCAGCATGACCAAGAAGGCTTCATGCCTGAAGTGCAGGAATGGATTAACATATGAAAATCTATCAATGTGATGCATTATATGAACAAACTGAAAAATAAAAACTAAATGATCCTCTCCCTAGATGCTAAAAAAGCCTTCAGGAAAATTCAACACCATTTCATGATAAATATCCTGGAGAGATCAAGGACAACAGGAACATATCTAAACATAATAAAAGCAACATACAATAAAGCAACAACCAACATCAAACTGAATGGAGAAAAGATTAATGTGAGTCTTCTAAAATCAGGAACAAGACAAGGCTGCCCTCTCTTTCCATATTTCTTCAATATTGTACTAGATGTTCTAGGTAGAGCAATAAGACAACAAAAGGAGATCAAAGGGACACAAATTAGAAAGGAAGAGGCAAACTGTCTATAGTTGCAGATGATAT